CACACACACACACACACACAGAGAGAGAGAGAGAGAGAAAGAGAGAGAGAGAGAGAGCACTAGCTTTTCCAGAATGTGACTTGCTCTTTTTGGCATCAGCAAATCTCCAAAAATCTTGGGACTTAAATATTTCCCACACCCCTGCGAAGTCCCAAGGGCACCTCAAGGCACATAACCACCTACCAGTACAGACAAGAAGCTGAGCATTGCAAGTCTTGTGTACCTCCAAACATAACCACCTCGTTCACACTGACTTCCCCCCACCTCCCTCCCAAGTATGCTGTGCTCAGCTCCTACCTTTGAGCCTTCATTCCTTCCCATCCTCTCATCCACTGATGTATTCTGAGTCTGGGCGTGCATCTCTATAGCCGTGAAGGACGCTGGCGCCGTTTTCTGGAATAGATTTTTTTCCAGCAGTCATACATCGGCTACATTTGTTCTACGTTGCATGTCACACATCAGCTACATCAACTTTACTGCACCGCTTCCTTTCTATACTTTAAGGAAACCTACTGAGTCTTCGAATTACATATTCCTATTTTATGGTTGCTTTGTCTTGCAAATCAGACATTCAAGACTGAGATCACAGCTTGGGAAGTTACCTTTAACAGGAATTAGTTACAGTGCCATTGCCAATGACCCCAACGTAGTAAATAATAGAAGCAGTTACTATTTTTTGGGGTTTTTAATTTGCCTCGCTAGACAATGATAATCCGTTCCACTGAAATCACTGTTTAGCGAAATCATTGTCTAGCGAAAGCATTTCCCTATTAGAATGCATTGAAACCTGTTTAATGTGTTCCAATGGGGAAGACTTGTCGTTGTCTAGTGAAGATCGGCCATAGGAAAGCTGCTTTGCGAACCGCCAATCAGCTGTTTAAATAGCTGTCTTGCGAAGCTTAGGTCCCGAAAACACCCGTTTTGCAAGCACGGAGGGAACTGTCAAAATCACTGTCTAGCGAAAATTGGTCTGCGCAATAAAGATCGGCCATAGGAAAGCCGCTTTGTGAACTGCCAATCAGCTGTTTAAATAGCTGTCTTGCGAAGCTTAGGTCCCAAAAACACCCGTTTTGCGAGCACGGGGGGAGGTGTCAAAATCGTTGTCTAGTGAAAATTGGTCTGCGCAGCAGGGAGCAAACATTGTCCAGTGAAATTCCCCCATAGGAATCAGTGTTCTGCGAATCACTATAGCAATCGCAAAAAGTCAATGTCTAGAGAAAAAAACGTCATGCAGGGTTACTGTCGAGCAAGGCACCACTGTAGTAGTAAAAATGTCTGTTATTTTTACTAACTACAGTGGTGCCTCGCATAGCGAAGTTAATCCGTTCCGGATTAACCCTTGCTATGTGAAAACATCGCTGTATGGAATGGGGAAGCCGTTTTGTTCCAAATGGGCAAAAACTCACTGTTCAGTGATGTTTCCCGGTCCGGCAGCCATTTTCGCGCCCTCGGTAAGCAAGGGCAGGGCACGAAAACGCTGCGCACGGCCATTTTGGGGCTTCCGGCGGCCATTTTGGAGCCGCCGAATAGCTGATTGTCGGGCATCGCTTTGCGAAGATCGGTAAGCGAAACGCTTACCGATCACCGCAAAGCGATTTTCGCCCATTCAGAACATCGGTATGCGATCGCATTTGCGATCGCAAATACCTCATCGCTATGCGATTTCATCGTTCTACAGTGCGCTCATTAAGCGAAGCACCACTATATAAGGTTTTTAAAATAAAATTTTTCTTTTGTTTACTGTTTCTCAGTGTGGTATTTGTTTGATCATTTTTGGTACCTGGATCCAACCCTTTCTATGTTTTAAAAAGATTGATTTGGCTTACCGAGCTGTGCAACAATATGCAAAATTGTTGCAGTTCCCAATTACTTTCTGGTGTGTCTGACAGTTGTCTTGACACTTCCCTCTGATCTGATAGCATTGTCCTGGATAGTTTATCTGAAACATGTAACCTGCACAGAAAGGAAACGTTAGGGAGGATCACAGTTGCTTGTGAAATTCTCCTTATCTGAATGCATTTGGTGTTCTGAGTTAACTAGTCATGCTTTTGAATGGGCACTGATATTTCGTTTTTCACATTTGTTAACCAAGCATATACAAAACACCAGTTTCAGGAATTAAATAAATACAATATTAAAACTAGCGGACTAAGAATACTCCACTCTGCAACATTCTATTGCAGTGATTATTTTTGTTTGTTTGTGTTTGTTTGCAAAGCTAC